TAAATATAATGTGCAAAATATGCAATGGAATTTTGGGAAGGAGTACAGGTTATGAAGGATTTTAGTGCCAAACTGAAGAGTTTATACTTGATTGTAGAGGTAACAGGAGTCCAGTAGAGGTTACTGAGTATGTCTATGTGTATGTGGGAGTGACAGGATCAGACTGTGTTTTGGGGAGATGTTCGATGTAGCAAGGCCAAATAGAACATTATTACAATAGTCCAGGAGAGATGATGAGGTTCTGAACTTGGGTGGTAGCTGTGTGAATGGGAAGAAGAGTGCCTCTAGGAGAGATGTTGTGGAGAAAGAAATTACGTGATCTGTCAATTTATTGAATGTATGTGGTCATTTCAAGTGAGGGGTCAAGAATGAAAAAAAGGTTGTGAATCTGGGTGACTGGAAGAAGTGACTTCAGACAAATTCAGAAGAGGGATAGGTTTTGGTTTTTTTGTTTGTTTGTTTTTTAAATAGCGTGAGTTCTGGCGCAGCTAGGTGGCACAGTGGATAGAGCACCAGCCCTGGAGTCAGGAGAACCTGAGTTCAAATCCGGCCTCAGACACATAACACTAACTAGCTGCATGACTCTGGGCAAGTTACTTAACCCCAAATGCCTCACAAAAACAAAACAAAAAAATAATATGAATTCTGTTTTGGACATGTTGCAGTTGAGACATTTGTATTCAGTTTGAGATATCTGATATTCAGTTGGTAAAGTGTGACCAGAGATCATGAAAGATACTACAGCTAGACATATAGGTCTGGAAGTCCTCAGTAGAGACGACAATGGAATCTATGGGAGCTGATTCATTAAGAACATAGAAAGAGAAGAGAAGAGGAGAGAGCCTTGGAGTATACCCACAGTTAATAGGCATAATATAGATGATGAATGAACTAAACTGGGTATAGATGTCTTTTTCTTTTGCCCTATAAAGGGAGGAAGGATATAGCATGATGGCTACCAAGAATTTCATGATCAAGCGAGCCTTTTTAAGTATGGGGGAGATAGGCAGCAGGAAATGATCCAATAGATTGGAGAGATTAGAGACAAAAGAGTGAGGATTATAGTTGGGGAAATTTGTCAGGGAAGATGGGGAAAGAATAGGATCAAAGATACATGTAGAGAGATTGGCATTGGCAAGGACAAGGGCCACTTTTTCGTCCAAGACTGGACTAAAGAAGGAATAAAGATATTTAAATGATATGAAAAAGGAAGAATTCTCTACAAATGTCTTGCATGTGTGTGTGTATGTGTGTGTGTGTGTGAAGGTCTTCATCTGAGTGGATGGAGGGCAGAGGGATTATGGGAGGCTTAATTCATTTAGGGAGGAAAAAATGCAGTAAGGTTCCAGTTGAAATTAGATAATAACATAAAATTTGTAGTGGACCCAAGCAGGATAATTTCATGATTTTCTTCAGTTCCATTCAGTATCAAATGAATATGAATGAAAGAGGGAGATCTTAGGAATAATCCAGGTTCAAGATTTGGCAAGACATGCTTGACAATAGGAAAAAAGAATGAAGGATTTCAGAGTGGAGGAGTGGGTTTCCACTGACTCTGAACCATTATGTTAGAGACATTAAACATCAATTTAGGAGACAGGTCTTATGTAGAGATCTTCCTATCTATGTAACCTCAGAGGCCCAGGTACCTGAGTCTAGTCTTTTGCTAGTCTAAGTCTTGAGGTTTAACTCACTAGGAGATTTGTATTCTACATTTCCAATCTTTTCTCCTCCCAGTCCAGAGTGAATACCCTTTTCCCCTGGCTATAATAAGTCATGCCTCTGTTCCAGTACTTAGTTACTACTGAAATCACTCCCTTTCTTATTTGTTGTCTGCTAGAGGGCTTGAATTCCCCTTTGATTTATTCCTGGGATCTCCTCAAAGCTCCCTAACTTTGGGCAAATCACTTAGCCTCTGTGGACCTCGTTTTCCTCATTGACAAAATGAGGGGGTTAAGCTAGACGATCTCTGGTTTCTTTCTGCTTTCAAATCCTATAATCCTATGACTGGGCCTCAAAGGCATTCTGTCTTTCCTGGATGGGATAGAAAAAGTAATCTTCCTTATTTAGTACTTATGATCATTTATTTGGACCAGATTCGTGATTCCATTTATGTAGGGAACTTCCAGGAAAGGTGCTACCTCTACCAATACAGATCAGCACTTGCTCTTCAATTTGGAGTCTTAAAGAGCCTCCTAGGATACTAAGATTAAATGACTTACTTGTCCAGGGTCCTGAAGCCAATATGTGGCAAGCAGGGCTTGCCTCAGGTCTTCCTGACTCCAGGTCTAGCTCTTAATACACCATGGTAGAGACCATTGCCACTTTAATTATTCATTGGTCATTAACTTTTAACAATTAATTATTTAATGTTTGTTGTTCAGTAATTTCAGTTGGGTCAACACTTTGTGACTCCATTTGGGGTTTTCTTGGCAAAGATACTGGAGTGATTTGCCATTTCCTTCTCTAGCTCATTTAACAGATGAGGAAACTGAGACAAACAGGGTTAAGTGATTTATCCAGGGTCATACAGCTAGTAAGTGTCTCAGGTTACATTTGAACTCAGGTCTTCCTGACTCCAAACTCAGAGCTCTATCCACTGTGCCACCTGGCTACTCTCAGTGTTTTGACATAACACCAGCCATTCAAAATAAAGGTAGGGAAGATAATAGACTTTTACTAATTTTATTATTTTACCAGATTTTATTATTCCCAAAAGATAACACGCAGAGTAGGAGGATGAAAAGGATGCAAATTGGAGCAATGATTCACTTCTATTATTATTTTTTTCCAGTGTTTTTGCATTGCTGGTGCAATTGTAGTGAGATCCTACAATATGTACTCTCTACATGTGGTCAACCTATCAAAACTTTAGAATGGGAAGATTCTGGGACCTTTTTATGGGTGATTTTAATTTGACATTTAATATTAAATACAAAACTCAGAGCTACTGAAAATGAAATTTTCAAAAATCTGAATTCAATGATAATGTCAGGTCTTTTGGCTCATGGAAATAGAGTAAGGTGTAGGTTGCTGGTGTAAACATCCCCATGCTGTTATTTTGGAAGATTTAATGACATCAGAGCTATTCCATTTGCCTACATTCTGGAGAGGATTGATAATTCAACAGTTTGAAGTTAGAGATTCATTGAAGAGCCCCAACATGGACTGTCTTCCTCCTCAAAGTTCTGTTTATCAAAGATAGACAGACAGTAATATCTACCTAGGGTGAGTTAGGGCAAAGTATAGAAGAGTTATTCTCTTTACCTTTAAGAATACAGTCATGAATGACGCACATCATACCCAAGGGTATTGTGTCAGAATGGTCTGTTCCCTGGAATGGCATGTGCAGACAAACCTCTCTGTGATGCTGCTATGGGGGATTAGGCGTAAAAGGTATCTGCTTTATATTTACAACAGGCTTTGACTGGAGGTAGTAATTTTTTGAGAAATGTGTTTTAAGCTGTTGTTGTTTAGTGATTTTTCAAACATATCAGATTCCTCATGACCTCATTTGGGGTTTTCTTGGCAAAGATCCTGGAGTGGTTTGCATTTTCTTCTCCAGCTCATTTTATAGATGAGGAAACTGAGGCTTATAGGCTTAAATGACTTGCCCTGGGTCACACAGCTAGTAAATGTCTGAGGCTGGATTTGAACTAAGGAAGATGAGCCTTTTTGACTTCAGGCCTGGCACTCTATCTACTTGCCTATCTGACTGCCCCATTTTAAGCTGCAGATGTATACAAGTACAATGTATCTACAATCAGAAGCATTATGGCTCTTGGAATTGTGGCCCCTGGGACAAACTCAGTCCAAAAGATCATAGGATCATTATGAGTGGGAAGAGACCTTAGGGGCTATAAAATCCACCACCCTCATGTTACAGATGAGAAAATTGAGGCACAGGGAGATTGAGTGACCTGTTCAGTGTCATATGCTGGACTTCATTATTTGATTGATTTGAGTGAGATTTGAGTCTAAGCGACTGCTCTTCCCAAAGCTGTCCAATAGCTGTGTTACCTCTCAACTCAGGCTAAATGCAGTAGGGAAACCCAACTCCCAATCCAAAACAGACTGTTCCTCTTTCCCGTGGATCTTGGTACCTCTAAAGTGCCCTGGGTAGCAAGTACTTTTGGGGACTGCTACTTATCTGGAATGCCTAGGAGTTGTGCTGCCCTCATAGTCAAAGCTGGACCTGGTCTGGAAAGAGAAGCATTTTCCCAGCAGTCTTTAACTTTTGTTCTTTCTCAAGACTGACCATTCAGGCACTAGGAGACTTTCTCCCTTCCACTTTCCAGGGAATTAGATCACTACTATGAGAAAGCACTCTTCCTACTTCTAACCACCTAGAGCAAAAAGCCCCAGTGAGCCTGACTAGATATAATTCTGAATATAACAGTAACAATATTATTGTTAATAATAATAATAATAACTATTACTATGTGCCAGGCATTGCTTAACTCTTTACAATTATTATTTCATTTTATCTTTACAACAATCCTGGAAGGTAGCTGCTATTATTATCCCCATTTTAGAGATGAAGAAACTGAGGCAAACAGAAGTTAAGTGACTTGCCACAGAGTCACATGGCTAGTAAGTATGTGAGGCCGAATTTGAACTCAGGTCTTCCTGACTCCAGGCCTGGCATTCAATCCACTGTACCATCTAGCCCCAAAGCTATTCCTAACGTTGCTAAAGTCAAAAAGTAAAGCATCCCAATTACATATGAACCTTGTCTTTCATGTTGCATTCTGACTATAGGAGATTAAGGAACTGGGCAGAAGGGGGAGAGAAAAAGAGAGATTGAGAAAATTGATTCAAGGCTCAGTGTGCTCTCCAAGGTCCCCTAAGACTCTCTTTTATGTCCCTGTGTAATATCATTGCAGAGTGTAGTGCCCTAAAGCCTTGTCCTGGATGTTTCTCTCTGAAGCCTAACCAGCAATAGAGAACTATTGTTTGCAAGACTGCTTCATGTGGCATTTCTGTTTGATCTCTGATAGGTTGTTTATAAGAATAATGACATCCGTCTGGAGCTGTCTCGGTTGGCCAGGATTGGTGACACCAAGATGAAAATATATGGCGAGGTGGTGTTCAAATGTGAAAATGTGGCCACACTGGACCCCATCAATTTTGAGACCCCTGAGGCTTATATCAGCCTTCCCAAGTGGAACACCAAGAGAATGGGCTCAATCTCCTTTGACTTCCGTACGACAGAACCCAATGGCCTCATCCTTTTCACTCATGGCAAGCCCCAGGAGAGAAAGGATTCCCGGAGTCAAAAGAACACCAAAGTCGACTTCTTTGCTGTTGAACTGCTAGATGGGAACCTCTACCTGCTCCTTGATATGGGTTCTGGCACCATCAAAGTGAAAGCCACCCAGAAGAAAGCAAATGATGGAGAATGGTACCACGTGGACATTCAACGAGATGGTAGATCAGGTAGGAGAAACTAAAGCCATGTGATGGGTGAGGTTCAGAGCAAAGTATAAATAGTTATTCTGATCTAGAGCTTCCTAGTTACCTATTCCCCAATTTTTTGTTCACTTCACTGGTTTTTCATGTTCCTTTTGAGTATTATTTTAGGTGTTTATTTCTGAACCAGACCCTTGGCCCATTTGTAGCTTGGATTCTCCTTCCTGTCACATATTACACTCTCATTTTAGTTATGTCCCCAGTGGGCCTTAAACTGGACATAAATTTTAAAATACTGTATGTACATTTTCCACTACAAAGAGACTGTCATGACATTCATGTTGATTTTTTTTCCCCTTCGCATTGTTATGAAAACCAGTTGCGAGATTACAGATGCCAGATCAGATGATTTTACCTTACAGTGGCTTCACAGTATGGTAGTTTGTGCAACAGATATACCCCTCAATAATTGGCAAAAGTCATGTTGTTGAGAAAATTATGACAAGAAAGGGAAAAGCAAATTGATTTTTCCTGAAGTCATGTTCAATTTAAAGCCTTGCTTTAGAGTGAAAGCCTATATTTCATTCTTTGCTCAGACCTCACTAACTCTCCCTTCCTTCTCATAACCTTTTACATTTGGTTTAAATGGCTTTGCTTGTTTCTGCAGCCTCAGATCAAACAAGCCTGCCTGGGGCAATACACAGCCACTATGGAACAATAACAAAAAGAAGGAAAAAAGAGGCTAATATGGAATCTGGGGCTTCTGAATACCTGACCAGTCTTATTCTGGCTTCTTCTGGGCCATTACAAACTTAAGGGCTTGCTAAATGTTATAAGAAAGGTGATCATTTCCCCAGGATCTATATCATATGAATCTCTTACTAATTTGACCTAATTTCTCATTCAGGTATTATAGAGGCAGGAAGAAGTCCTATTTTAGGGTCACTAATATGGCTTCTGGAGTCCCACTTTACACATGAGCATCCAGAAAAAATAAAATAAAATAAACTACTGTAGGTTGAAGGAACTTATTGAATCAGTGCCCATTCAGAACCATAGCACACAAGCCTGTAAAATCTTGCAAAAACATGATGATTAATCAAATTACATAGCAAGGAAATGACACTAAAGTAACCCTCCATGTACACATGGGGTATACTTTCCTGTAAGTTATTCTTCTATCAGCAAAGATGAACACACAAAGAATACCCCTCACCAGTTTATATGCATTGAAATCGTGCATATAGAAAACATGCTTGGCCAGGAAACATGCATGCAGGGGTACATGCCAGTAACCTATGTGGTTGAGGCACATGTGTGGAGGATATGCATTTAGCGATGCAGCTGGCCTGGTTGAATGTCCTCACACTACTTTCCACCCAGAACTGGGAATCATGTCTCCACTGTGCTAGGAATCTTCCTTTACTGGTGATGTTATTGAGTTATTCAGCTCCCCCTTGGGGAAGCATGGTACCTTGGTACCATGTGCTGGGCTGCAATTCTTCAGGGCCATCTACCTGCTCTCTGCTGGTGTGCAGTAGCTAGGAAACCTTTTCCTTCCAAGGGCTAGCTGACATTCTTTTAGCACATAGCTGAGGCTGTGAGCCAACACGTCCAGACAGGAAACATCGAACAGAGCCAACAGGATTTCCCAGACTAGGATCATCTGTTCTTTATAATTATTCTTTGTCTGATGCTGATTTAATGTCCATAATCTTGTGTAACTGTCCATAAAATTCCTTGTTATTCCATTCAATCCTTAATTGTGAACCTGTATCCCCAAAACTTATTCTGGGAATTCTGTTTAAGGAGCCCTCCTCTCCCATATATACATACATACACACACACATACTCACAGGAAAGGTATGGAGGGTGGGGCATTGAGTTCATTCCCAAGATCCTCTTTGATTGGCATGCAAATGAAGGTAGGAGACAGAACAGAAGCTGGATGAAACTGGCTAGTTCCATATTCTTGCCTTTATTATACCTATCTGCTGCATTCTAACTAGCCCCAAAACTTAATGGTCTCCAATTACTAAAATTACAATAGTTTGAAAGGACAAACTCCTCTGGTGAGAACTTACTGATTCCATTCAAATCAACAAACATGCACTAATTATCCCCTATGTGCAAAACACTGTGGTCATTTTCATTCTATGTTCAGCCTTATGCATTGGGTATGGTGAGAGGAAGCACTACTCCACCCAGTGGGATCCATAGCTATTCTGCTTAGGATGACTGTGTTTTGATGGGACAGTTTTATGGCAGCATCAATGAGCGTTGTTGCCCATAGGAGAAGTTGGATGTGTTATGCACAGAGGACATTTGGACAGCAGATTGCAGCACTGGACTATTTGGTGCTCAGTAGGAAGGTTTATTGATTGCCTGAAACTTGATTGGAGATAAGAAACTTCAAATTAAATGTTCTTTGCTGAACAAGAATGAACAGTTTGGTTTTTCTGTTCTAAGGAAAAAAAAACCAACAAAAATTTTAATTTATCTGAAGGTTCAAACCTCCTCTTTCCCCATAGAGAAGATAAAATACAGGCATGTCAGACATAGAGGCAATGAAGAGGGAAACACTCTAATAAGAAGGTATTAGGGTATCCACAATCTCAGCTGTCATGGGAACATAGATTCAGACCTGGAAGGGACCTTAGATGTTATCTGTTATGTCACTGAAGGTTTTTTTTTCTTTTTTTCATGATTAATATCTTCTGTGGCATGTCAACTTGGGGGTCTTACACAATCTTTGTCACATGTAAGGGTAGAACAAATATAAATCCATTAATTTTTTTTCTCCTTATACTTTTTATGCCCCAAAGTAATTATTTGTTTTGAATAAGAATTTCTACTTTGTTTACATCTTATGGTCACTGATTAATGAAAAGTGTATTTTTATTTTATAAGCATTCATAAATTTGATTTGTATTTCACATAAGGGAGTAAGGTTCAACTGATATTTTTATATGCTAATAATTACAATCAAGGCATGGAACCTTATTTAAACAAATGAATGACTGGCCTTAAGAAAATGAGAGTAATCAGAAACACAATTTGTGAATTTTTCAATTATGTTTTCCTTCTTTTGGGTATTAGTATTTAATGTTAATCTCTGATATGTTAAGGCTCTATTATTTCTCTTCTCTGGGACCTTCATCTGCCAAAAAGATTAGATACAACCTATCTTTAAGTAGATAAGTCTTAGAAAATTGCAAAAGGATCAGAGAGATTAAATAATTTACCCATGTTATAAACAGTTAGCAAGTGTCAGAGTCTTCCTCATTCCAGGTCCAGCACTTGCTCTCTTGTCCCTTATTAATCTCTACAATCTTTATAAAAATATAGATACCTACAGTTCCCTATCCTGTAACTACCTCTATCCCTCTTTCTCCTATGTGTAATCTTTTTTCTTTAGTAAATCTTAAGAATGGAATAATTTAGATGCAAACCCCCTTGTCCAGATGGAATAATTAGAAGCTGTGCCTCTTAAATTTCTGTCCCAATCTGAGATTCTTTTAATCTTAAGACAATATACACACATCTTAGGAATCTTGCTAATAAAGGCCAGAAACTGGTCAGTTCATAAACTGAAAATTAAAAAAAAGTCAGGAAATGTTTAGAGTTACAAATAAATTAAATAATGTTTCTATAATGCTATATTTCCATAGTATAAAGCATAACTTTTGGTTAGATGGCAAATGTCTCCTATGGCAAATATTCTTAACCGTTTTGTGTGTATATATGGTGGTCACCTTTGGCAATCTGGTGAAGTCTGTGGACCTCTTCTCAGAATACTGTCTTTAAATGTATAAAATAAAATACATAAAGCTGCAAAGGAAACTACTTATAATGAAATGCTATTATCAAAACATTTCATAAGTCATAGATCCCAAGTTAAGAATCCCTTCTCTATGGAAATATTAAGGGCAAAGGAAAGACCATAGGTAAGGGAGAAGACAGTGTCAAAGACATCTATTGTCATTTGAATCAGTTGAATGGTTAAAAGAAAAAAATGTCTTAATAAGACAATTGTAGAAAGCAACAGTGAGTTAGATAGATTTCCCATGATGAGTAAATGTGTGTGAGAGAGAAGTGAATACTGAATTAAGCACGCACACACACACACACACACACACACACACACACACACACACACATACACGTCTTAAACCTTCAATAGGCTTATTTATTTATACCTAACCTGAAGTAAAACACTATAGTGCAGCAGCAGAGCATTTATTGAGGAATCCCAAGGATAGGTCCACCATTCTAGACTTTCTATATTGGAGTGATAGGGTTGGACTCTACACTGATATTTATATGAAAGGCAGGATTTGACAGACTATTGCCAAATCCATGGAATAGCAATACATTTCATAATTTTTTAAATAGTACTAGTTATGGGTTAAATTTAAATATTTAAATATCTAGGCCAGGTTTGCCAGAGATATGGCAGTCATACTGTTGTCTAGTTGCTGACCCGATGGTACTACCATTGTCTCTGACTAGGTTCTTCCTTTCCCTTCTACTCTTTTACCCCACAATTTAAGATTATAGGATCATTGATCTAGAGCCAAAAGGACCTCAAAGTTCTCCTACTTCAACCCCTTCACTTTACATATGAGGAAATGGAAGTTCAATTAAGTTAAATGACTCGTACAAGGTCTCTCATATAGTAAATGGTAGAACTAGGTCTTTTGACTCCAAATATAACAATTTTCCCACTGTGCTATGATACTTCCATGTATACTCCATAGGTTCCATACCCAATTTGCAAATTTGTTCTTAATTCTTCACTGAGCTTAGGAGACTTCGAGACCTTTGAGTACAAAACACATTTAGTTCATATTAGATCCTTTATGAGATGTAATGACACATGAGACATGGACTCTACCATTATGGAATTTTTAGATGTTCAATAAATGTATGAATATATTGCTAATCCATCCTAGCCTGTTGTGTATTTTGTAAGTTCCCTAAGAATTGTAGGATCTTGCATTGTTTAGAACTAGAAGACTACTTGG